CCAAGGAGTTCAGTCCCCTGTGGGGTCGCTGTGAGGCAGGGTCTGCCATGTGGCTTGGGGAGTCGACAACCGGCTACGGAGCTCTGGCTTCTCAGCTGTTCCCCATTGGATGGGGCCATTTGGTGACCTCTGTCTCAGCCCCGTTCCTGGTGGGGCCTGGTGTCCTCCCAGAAATCACCATCGCCGCTAAGGCTGATTGTCCCCGTTGTCTGCAGCAGCAGTGGGGACTTGCTCTGGGCCCCTCGGGCAGCTGTGGTTCGAGCTCTGGGGATCTGCCATCTTGCCCGCGTACTGGCCTCTGCGCGCCCCTCCCCTGGGCAGATGCAGACACCGATGTAGTGTCCGCGCAGGGCTGTAGCCAGAGGATTCAGGGAAGACGCGCTCCGGGATGTGCGCAGCAAACCAGACACGGGCTCTCGGGCGAGAGCGATTCACTTCCTCTTTGTCTCCCCTCTTCAGTGGTTCCAAGTTCCCAGTGTTCAACATGTCGTACAACCCGGCCGAGAACTCCGTCCTGCTCTGCACGGTAAGGCAGCTGGGGTGTGAATCCTGTCGAACAGAACAGTCCCGTCGCTGGGTGTGCTGCCAGCCTGTAGGGAGTCTTCTCCCTCTCCCATACACACACGGCTGCCCGTTGCCTTGGGATCCAGGCTGTGTTCTCTCTGCTTTTTCCATCTGTGTGTGGAATAAATATTATTTGCACAGAGGCACATGCACCAGCAGTAGAAACACGCGATGCTGGTTGTGAGCGCTCTGCTAATCGGCATTTGAGTCTCACCTGAGCGCCTGCCAGAGCGCTCGGCTTACAGGGGATGCTGTATCCGGGTGTCCTGTGCAACACACAGCACCCGACGGAGATGATTTCTCACCCGTTGCAATTCAGTTCCCTCTAGAGGGAGGAGGTTCACGTGTGCGCGTGTCTATTTAATGTGTATTTCTTTCCCCTCTCTCCAGAGAGCCAGTAACCTGGAGAACAGCACCTATGACCTGTACACCATCCCCAAGGACGCAGACTCCCAGAACCCGGACGGTGAGCGTTTCAAGTGTTGTATTTCTCTGTGTTGTTCTCCCGTATCCCGTTGTAAAAAAGTGTCTGTTCCCGAAGTCTTTGTGTTCTCTCTCTCCCTACGTAGCCTGAGCAGCGTGAGTCATTTGGCAGGCCTGCCTGCTCACTATATCATGCGGTACATGGACTTGAAAAATTCATGTTCATCCCAAACTTTACAGCTGCAAATATATATTTTATAATTCAATTATTAGGGCCCTTCCATTTTCCCTTTCGACACAGCAGGCAGCCTTCCTGGCTTGTCAGCGGAGATGGATGTCACCCAGATACGCCGTGCTCCGAGTGGCTTTCTACTCCGACAAGCGGCTGTGACAGTCACACTGCTGGGGCCCGATAGTCACATTCTCTCGCTGCAAATTCCAGATCTGATTTGCTCAATTTACAAATCAAACCATGATTCATTTTTTCCCTTCCACTTGGGATCTGAAACTCCAGCTGGGTTCTTCCTGCCGCTGTCGTCACAGCAGTGAGGCGCGAGGGATGAGGCAGGGTGGGGTGAGGCACGAGGCAGACGAGAACCCAGCTCGCGCGTTAATGACTTTCCTGGCTGATGCAGGTCTGCTGGAGGGACTGTCTCTCGTGCAAAGGGTCCCGGCGTAGCGCCGCGCTGAGCCGGAGAGGGGCCATGTTTACTCCCGTTCCCGTGGTGGCTGAGGTTAATGGAGCCGCTCATGTTCGCACATTTCGGTTGAAAGTTTAAAAAGTGGCTAGTGATTTTTGGGAAGTGACCTGAGGCCCCTCCGAGGGGAGTGATTGTCCCAGAGGGCGAATGCTCTGCTTGCTGAAGGTGAAGCCCTTTAAAAGTCTCTCCCGTTTGGTACTCAGCATCTCCCTGTCTCTTCTGGAGATCTTGGCCTTGGCCCTTAAAAACCACACGCAGCAGGTATATCTAAGGCAGCCTGCCGTGCTGGGGCAAATCCCAGTCGCACTAGGGATGAGAAGGGTTCACCAGTCAGCCGCAGCCTTAATAGACGAGTGGGGCTGGAGCAGCTCCCCGCCTGCTGCGGGCAGGGGGGTGGTTCCGGCCCCCCGGGG